GACTTCAGTAGGGCTCACGCCGCTCGTCGAAAACGACGAACCTAAGTATATCCGGCTGCTAGATATGTTTTTTGTATGATATGCCGTCATTTTGCTGCCTCGCTGTGCCCCGGAACGCTTATATATATGTTGCACATGTGCCCCATGCGCGTCCTCTGGGCTGTTGAAAGGCCTCCAGTGACGATACGGCGATTATTTTATCAGTCGCTTCAAAACCACCGTAGTGCCTCAACATCTGGACCTCTGCGTTTGGGGATTTCTTGAGAGACTCGGGACTGCTCCTCAACTCGAGCGAAGCTGGTAGCACTGTTTTCGGCGCATCGAAGTATCAAGAATCGCAAGGCGAGGGGATTTACAACCCCTCCGGACCATATGAAAACAGCATTCAGCGGTGGGATACGTGGGCGGCAAGGACGCGTGGCGCGCATCAACACGTGGCTGTGATGCACGCCACGCGTCCTTCCCTTTCGCCGTCCTTCCTCTCCTCGTCCTCGTCCTCGTCCTCTTCCCCGCTCTGCCCAGGCAGACGATAGCGACCATACGGTCGACTGTCGCCCGCTATTGGACCCCGGCGTCACCAGGTGACCCCGATCTTCCGTCCCCCTCCCTCCCTCAACCTCGACCTCTATCCCGCCCTTCACTCACCCTCCCGGCCACTCCCACAACAAACACTGCACGAGGACGTCCATCCGGACGTCCTCAGTATGGAGATGAGGATATGGGGTCGCGGCGACGTGCCGCGGCCTTTGCTTTGGTGAGTCCTCTCCTCCGCGTTCCTGCGTTCCCGACGCCCACCCACACATACTTCCTGTCGCCCCGTCGACAACTACAACAGGCCAACGACGTCCGCCCGGACGCCCTCCTCCTCCCGGTCCTTCGCGTCGCCCCCTTCCTCCGCGCTGCCCTCCTCCGCCCATGTTGTCCACCTGCACCACCCACTTCTACGTCGCCCGCCTCTGCGTCGTCCTCCTCTTCCCTCCTCGCCTTCCTCCGCCCACGCCCGCTACCTCCTTCGTGCCGCCCTCCTCTCCTGCACCCTCCGCGGCACCCTCCTCTGCGCCGCGCTCCTCCGCCCGCGTCACCGTCCTCGTTAGCACCGCGCTCCTCAGTCCCGCGCTCCTCCGCGTCACCCTCCTCCGCCCCCGCGCTGCTCTCCACCCGTGTCGCCCGCTCTTCCCTCTCGCCCTGCTCTGCCCACGCCCGCCGCCTCCGTCGCACCGCCCGCTCATGTCGCCTGCCTCAGCCTCGGCTGACTTCGCGTGGCCCTCCATGCGGCCCTCCTTCGTACTGCCCTCCGCCCGCGCTGCCTTGCGCCGCCCGCCCATACCGCCTTCCTCCTCGCCCGCGCCTGCCGTCTCCTTCGAGCCGCCTACCTCCGCGTCGCCCTCCTCCGTGTTCGCGCCCCTCACCTCCGCCTCGCTTGCCTTTGCGTCGCCCGCCTCCGCGTCTCCCGCATTCACATCGCCCACGTCGCCCTCCTCCTCCGCGTTGTCCCGACCCTCCGCCTCGTTCTCTACCCTGCTCCGCATCACCCGCCTCTACGTCTGCCTCCGCGTTGTCGCGGGACGTGGTATTACTTACTAGCGCACCTATGTAGCACATGAGCCTCCCCTTGCCCCTGCCGGTATTTGTTTTTCTTGCCTCAGCTTGCTTGCCACCCTCTGCCTAGTGAAGCCTGAAAAATTTGATGTCACTAGCCCAGAGTCACTGTTCTGTGGCATTCAAACCGCCCAATTTGATTTGTGCCAAAGATGACCGATCAGCTTTAAATTGTTTTTGTGAGACGTTTTTAAGGGACCCAGAAGAAGATTTCTTTTCTAGTTCTCTGAAAATATTTTGAGACCCCAAAAATAGATTTTCTTTCCGAGTTCTTCAGAAAATGAGGTTTCTGTTTCTAGCAGCCCCAAAACCGATTTTTATTTTCCAGTTTTTTATGGGCACATTGTCTGGACTCTCCTGAGCAGAGCTGGTTTTGTAAAGAGCTAAATCTTTAGTGATCAGAGCAGGAGTGAATTGGCACTACTGACTGCCTGTTTGGCTGATCAGCTGACTAATCAGCTCATGGGGCACATTTCTTGAAAACTGCTTTCAAGAAAGAACCTCTTGAAAAACGCTTGGTGGGTTCATGTAAGCGAATTTCCTGAAAACTGAATCTCCCTCGTGTGAGCGAATCTCTTGAAAACCGAGTGTCTCTTGTATGAGCGAATCTCTTCCAAACTGAATGATCCTCGCATGAGCGAATCTTTTGAAAACCAAGTGCTGCTCACATGAGCGTATCACTTGGATACCGGCAGGCTCATGTGAGCGCATGTCTGGCGAACTGGTAGCCCATTCATATGAGCGGAGTTCTGGAAAACGGAGCACTGCTCATATGACCGCATCTCTCGCACACTGGTGGGTTCGTGTAAGCGCATTTCTCGCAAACTGACAGAAACTCCAACAAGCGCAATTCTCGATGACTGCCAAAATTTTCGCCACTCATTTAAACGTATGTTTCGCTCACAAAAACGCTCGCATGAGCCCATCTCTTACGAACAAGGGCCACTCATATGAGCGAATATTTCCCAAACCAGTCACAGTTCATGGGAGCGATTTTCTCTAGTACTCATCCATCTCAAATGAGTGATTCTCTCATAAACGGTCCCCTTTCAGTTGAGCGGTCCTGTTAACTAAGCAAGATTTCCCTAATATGAGCAGGACTTTCCTAAACTGACTGCCCTCACATGAGCGAGTGCCTTGTGAACAGACTGTTGCTCATACAAGCCTGTCTTTCATGCACATGGATGACCTCATGTGAGCATGACTCTTGTGAAATGATGGCTGTCACATGAGCCAAACACTCCTGAAACCACCTACCTCAATTGAACTGATATTATGAAGGAGCTGGAACAGTTTTTGGGGGGGCCTCATATGAGTGAGAGCACTGTCTACCACCATAAGCTCATATGAGCAGGTATATCGAGAACAGATGCTAGGCTCAATTGAGTGCAAATAAGCGGAATATTCGCATATTCCTGTGCCGCAAATAAGCGTATCGTGCGACTATATTATGGCACTGCACTGAGGGCAGGGCTCGCTCTGGATTTGAAGAGTACGATGGACAGATCGAGGCGCGATGGTTACGGTGCGTCCCCGCTAGTTTCTGTCTTGAACAACGCTGACGAAAAGCACGACCCGGACGACGCATGCGGCAAGCCTGAAGGACCTGGTTATCGAGTGGATGTGGTTTGGGATCACAAACATCGTTATCACCGGTGAGGCAGTATACTTCCGTCCCCTCTGCTTTGCTGATCCGTTCTCTCCCCCATGCATGCCCTCACACACGCATGGTAGAACCCCATGTGATACGAGCTGGCCTAGCGCAAGTGCGCGCTCCATGGCCGTGTCCGCCCTGGGACGTCATTGTCATCCACATTTACGTCCACGTCCTGCCAGCGGGTGGAGGAGACAGCCGCACCAACGTCCTACTCACCGTCTTCCGCGCGTACGCCCTCGGCGAGTGGACGGCGTTTTGTGGCATGTAAGCGTGACTGCACACACGGTCTCGCTCCAGGACACGTTCGTAGTCTCCACGGTCGACGGCCCGCCTGCTGCTGCCCCTGGCGCAGAGGCGGGAGCAGGTCCAGATGCAGACGGAGGAGGGCCGGTTCGTTCGCCGTCGAGTATGGTGCGCTCGATGTGGTCCCCCGAGAGGACCAGTAGATGAACGGTGCGCGAAAGGTGCTGCTGGCGTGCACACGCCGGGTTCAGCCCTCCCCTCGTTAGTACACGGCTTTTTCGTCTTTGTATCCATTCTCCCCGTGCACGCATTCTCGGCCACGCACTTCTCCGTCGCTACGCGTGCACCTACGGCACTGTTCATGTTACATCATCGCTAGTTGATATGTACATCTATATCGCTGTAGCTAGGTACTGGTCTGGATCTCAGATAATGTTCATCCATGATTGCGCTATATTCTATGTGTGATGAGTGCTACTACTCGATATCCGGTGCTTGAAGCATTGATCTACGGCCATGAGTGAGACTAAATGCACCTGGTGAGGGCCTACTCTCGCGACTAATACTTCCTTCTCCGTGGAATGGTTTCTCATTAGCAGATGGGTAAGTGAATAATAATACTTCTGAATAACACCATAATCCAGCTCATTAGCCCTTACAAGCCTCAGTAATGTCTCATTATGGATTTGGGTTTTTCCTGATGTGGTACCTCCCGCTTTGGTACCCCCAAGGTATTTATACCCCAATACACACAAGAGACCAACGAGGCTGAGCGTTGCTTGTAGACACTTGGTCTGTGCCTGATCCGCGACTACGTTTGCGACCGCTCCGTGCTGACTGGCAATCTGATATGATGTTCGTCCCGTTAACGGTCACCTCCTTGAAGAAACGCTGACTGATAGATATAAAGGGCACCTGCTCATCTTTGCAGATTCTTTGACTACGAGGGTTTTACATTTACCGTCATCAACCCCTCTGCCGTAGAATCCCTGCCGGGGCTTATAGTCTCGGATCCTCACCTCAACCTCACCCCGAGGGACCTCAGGAAAGCAGTGTGGGCGACGAACAGAGCTCCGGAATTGGCCTATATGCTCAAAAAAATTCGCAAAGAGTCCCCCATCCTCGCTGGTGTGAGTTCCTCTTTGCTTCCAATCGTCAACACTACGAACGGCTACATGCTTCAACCGAACGTAATCAACGACTGGCGGATCCTCGAAGCCTGCCTCCTTCACACGTCATCCATTCTATTCGACGCCAAGTCCAATTGCCCCGAAGGGATGCTCCCGTTCGATCCCCATTGGCCGTCTCCTGAAGAATGCGGCTATAGGGAGGTGTACTTGACGGCTCACGCGGCGCAATCAGCGGCGGTCAAATCTCGCAGTGCCTTCAACGTCCTTCTCGCCCGCTGCACCATGGCCATCGCACTCCACGTTTCCCCAGAGACCGAACCTCCCGACTGGGTACGTCTTCTTACAAGCCACAACGTCCCTCCCGCCTGGATCCAACTCCTCCGCACGAGCATCACAAGCAACTTCTCGCCCCAACTTCGAGTCGGAGCTTTTTTCGACCCGAGGATATCACGATGGATGGGTCACATTCCCTGCATGATACGAGCGAACATTCCCGTTTACATACGATGGAACTCCTCCCTCGTCAGCTCAGATCTCCAGCAGTATCCATTCCTTTCGCCTTTTTCCCCTTCACATGGTCTGCATATTCCAAAGGTTCCGGTAACAGACGACGGCCATTCCCAAACCCAGTTCCGCTGGTCAATCTTCTCTGGCTCCAACACGGCTGAGACCCTGCAGATACCTCAAGGACGCGGACAATTACCGGGGGAGACGCATGAGGAGTTTTTCGCCAGGCGGCAGCGCACGTATCAAGAATGGGAGAAGACTGCCACCCCGGAGCTTATTCAAGCATGTTCCAATCGAGCCAAGGTCGCTGCTTCGTTCGGGTGTCCTAGCAAGTCGACGTACGTTTTTGTCTGGGTTCCCGCTGAGGAAGAATTCGCCGACGACATTCACCCTGAATGGCGCTCCCTTGAATTCCGTCGTTTCGTCCCCTATGAAGCTGTAGGAGCGCTGTGGAAATGCCCTGATTCATGCAAACGATACGACCCATATTTGGACGAGTGGGACATTTGCGAGGCCCTATCCAGAAAAGCTTCCTCTCTGCACGAAACCACGGACGACTCCTCCGAGGTGTGGGATATGACGCCTGTACCACCTCAGCCGGACTTAGGATCCTCGTTTTACGACCTCCTTCTTCGCTCCCTGTACCCCACTGGCCAGGACTTCCGACCACGGTTCGAGCTGTTCGCGGACTTTCTACGATTCCGCTATGGACTCATCGCGAGCCCCCAGAAGGACGCCCACCTCGCGTATGACACCTACGGACCTGAAGCCCTGCGGAAATTCTTCGGCTTGTTGGAGGAAGACATGCCCATGATTGCCACCGAAACCTTCCAGTACGCCAGCGTCCTCGTGACAGCCCTTATCAAAGACAAGGAACGTCCCTCAGCTCCTGGATTTATATGGGACCTCAACCCCTCGTCGTCTGGACACCTCGGGAGAGCTCTTGGTTCTGGCTCCATCCACTTGAGGCCTCAGATTTTGAACGACGGGAAGTTGGTACGGATTCGTTACGGCAACCCCGATCCATCCAGCCACTGGGATCTGTTCGTCGATTCCGTCACCTCTCTCGAATTATACAGGCGACGGTCACATATATCCTCTGCTTTCGACGCTATCGGCCTACTGTCTTCCCGCGGCACACAATTCCTTATCGCCTCCAAACTGCCGCAAGGCCAACAACACCAATCGCA